ACATATAGACCTAAGTCATATTATTGCCAAATTACTTTCCAGAAAGGTTACAGTGGTAGTCTATGAACATATTTTGCTGTTATATTTGCCATGTTATAAAGAATATTCTTGCATTAATTTTCCCTCAAGTTATGCTTCTTGTGAAGCATATTATTTCATGACTTCTCAGAACATTTGTAAATTGAGATAGAATTGAAATGAGAATTTTTACTTCTTTTTTTTTAAATTACTTTTTTGTCATAAAAGATTCTGAATTTGACTGGAGCTTCACTGGAAACATCATGTCATCTGATTGTACCTAATAAGTTTGGTTTTATTCCTAAACATACCTTATTTTGATATGCTGGACGTCATTGTCTCTGGATATGTTGGCATAATATATAAGATTTAAAGACCAACTATTTCAAGGCTCCCAAATTGGAGGATTTACTTCAATTTTTTTCATTTCAGATTTATCCGGTGTTTTACTAACCTTTATTGGTGCCTTACTATGGACCCAACACTATTTGTAGTATTTTACTGTATTATTAGTCTATTTAACCTTTACAACCTTTCTGTGAGGTAGATACTATTATTTTCATTTTATGGATGAGGTAACTGAGTTACTCAGAGTTTATAAACTTGCCCAGAGAGTAGCAGAGCCAGCTCCTGAGCTGGGCACTTGGCCCAGATGCAAATACATCTAGGAGAAGACAGATCCCTGCTCTTGAGGAGTTCAGCATCCCTTTAAATTCGTGATTACTAATCTAGTGCAGCCGTAATATTGCCTGGCGATATATTATATTCCCCTAGTTTAATCATTTCCCTGCTCTCCTCAGTGACGAGATCATGCCTCCTCTATCCACAAACCCAAACATCTCCTGCATCCTTTTCTCAGCTAATGAATTTGCTGTCTAACTTGGTCAGAAAAGTGAAGCAATCAAAAGAAAACTCCCCAGAGCTCACCGCACTTCTGCCCATGCCTCCTGCAGTATCTTGTGACCTATGCTTATGAATGAACTCTTCCTAGTCCCACAAAACCAGGCCCTTTTTATGCAATAGATTCTGTCCCAAAACCTTCCAGAAACAGTGCTCTGGCTTTCTAAACAGCGTTTCTTTTCTCATTTCAATTCATGCTGTCGTTTCTCCCATTTTATTTTTTTTTAAAGTCTTTATTAATCCCATTTTCTTTTTTAGCTACTGACCTAATTTTCTCTTTCTTTCCTGGAAAAATTGTTCTTTGTCAAAATGTTCAACAACCTCTGTTTTGCTAAACTCAGTGGCTAATTTTCATCTTATTTGAACTTCAGCAACATTAGGTATAGTTCATCCCCCCTCTCCCTAAATTACTTTGTCCACAAGCACATGAGATACTCTCCTTGTTTTCTGCATCTCACCTCACCTCCTTAACCTCTCGCCTGTGTATCCATATTCCTTCTCTAAGCCATTTGGTACAGTCCTTGGTTTTCAGTACTACCTTAAAGCAGGTGATTCTTGAATGGTTATCATTCACTTGGCCTCTCCTCTGAACTGCAGACCCTAGTATCCCCCCGCCTACTCAGTATCCCATGTGCATTTCTAACAAATACCTCAGACTGAACCTCTGGCCTTCCTTCCTGACTTCCTCCACAGCTTGCCCTATCTCAGGTAACAATAACTCCACAGCCCACACACCTGCTCAGCCGAAACTTGTAGAGTTAGTTTTGACTCGTCTCATACTGAAAACCTCATCCAATCTACCAGCAACCAGCATTATATTTTCAAAACAGACGTCAGTCCTTACCCTGCCTTACAAGGTCTTCACGGTCCGGCCTCTCCCTCAGCTGCCTCCCAACATCTCCCTGCACTCCTGTTCACTCTGCTGGAAGCACTTTGGGCCTGGTGCCCCGCAGACATGCCAGGTACACTTCCACTTCCAGGCTTTCTCATTTGCTGTCTCCTCTGCCTGGAATGATTTTCTAGCAGATACACTTTGCTCGCTCTCTTTCTTTAGGTCTTTACAAGAATGGCTTCTTCCTTCACTGTCTAATCTAGAGAACCAGCACCCCACCCTTCCAAACTCCTAATACCCTTTCTTTGTCTTAATTTTCCCATAGAACTTCCTTCTAACATACTATACCTTTATTTAATTTTTTTGTTTATTTCTTTTTTGTCTCTCCCACAAGGAAAAGTAAATATTCCATGAACACATGGATTTTTTTCGTGACTTTGTCTCTATGCGTGGAATACCGCTTGGCGTGTGGGAGGCATTCAGTAAACGTTAGTTATCTGGGGAAGCATGCGTATATTTAAACACACACATGACCCAGAGAGCACACTAACCAAAGTGATGGTTGGACGAAGATGTCCTGCTCAATTAAGAATTAATTTGAAGAATAAATTATCACCTCTTTTTCTTTACTGTGTAAGATGTTATTCTGTTTGATCTTTTTTTTTTTTTTTTATGAATGAGGCAGGTCATGTGTTACAGGGCAGCTTCTAGTTTGATTAGATTCGATAAATGTAGTTGTAACTTGAGTTTCAAACGATTGAGTGGATGAAGCTAAACAGGTTACTAAACATTTACATCTAATTTTAACAAATGACCCCTCCCACCTTGTTTTGTGCTTTATGAGTCTTTATTGTGATTTTTTTAGATGTCCTAGACTGGAAGGCGCATGTACGCGCAGCCCCTGCCAGCATGGTGGCACGTGCACGGATTACTGGTCGTGGCAGCAGTGTCACTGCAAAGAAGGACTGACAGGGAAATACTGTGAGAAATGTATGCAAAAACTGTTCATCTTCCCCTGGAAATGATCAGAACTGTGAAAAGTATAAATATGTGCACCTAAATTTATAATTGAATTGTTTTCATTCTAATTATTGAGAACATTAAATGAGCAATAATTGGTAAAGTAGAATCACATTTTTTAAATTCATTTTTTAACCTGAGGAAGAGTGACATCTCTTTAGAATTATTTATTAAATAAGTCATTAGTTTCCATTTTAGAAACACATCAGTTATTTTTGGCTAACCTGTAGGAACGTTGGGCAGTTTGCAAGGCCAGAGGCTGAATCAGGCTTTAGTTTAATATCCTTTGGCTTCAGGGGATATTTCTCTGATGAATATTTTGTGTTTGGTAGAAAAGCACAAATAGTAAATCACTGAACACTGAACTCGAAACACTATACAACTGCATTATAATCTATTACAATTAAAGATGATACTTGAATTTTAATTTGTAATTATTGGAATTCGTTTTGAATATTACTTTTTAAATCTTTTTATGAGTTATTTATTTATAAACACAAATGTTATTATCACTAAGACATTAAGGATGTTCAAGCCATCATTAGACCGTGGCATTCTCTAATTTCAAGGTGTACATCCCACTCACCCTTATGGGATCTCTTTTATAAAAAATTGTTTCACTTTCAAATAAGTGGTCACTACTTAAATTATTGCATTTAACTGACAACTTTTTAAAGAGCCATTTGATTCTCTTATGAGAATGAATAGAAGTTCATGATTAAATTAAGGATATACTATGATCAAAAAGATGTTAGTAGCAGAGGTATAATTGTGTTTATTTAGGATAAAGTCAAAACAGAAAAAGTACCTTGTCACATGATATTTTTTTAAGTAATGAGTATTTGGTAAGTAGGAACCCAATTATATGAAATGAGTCATTGGCTTGAGAAATGTCTTATTATTTTAAAAACTGAGATATAATTCACGTACTATAAAACTTACCTTCATAAAATGTACCATCCTGTTCTAAAACTCTTTTGAGCTCATTTATGTCCTTTCTTTTGGTATTTTGCTATAACAAACTTCTGCACTTCAGTAGTGTGAACATTTTATCAGGTTATGATAAATTATCATTATACATGATGATAAACTAAATTCCACATGGTTATCACCAATCATACAAATATAAAAATTTGATTGTACACTTTTGTTTACATTTCTAATGTGCTAGAAACTTTAAAGATTACAGATCATTTTAACTGTGAAATCATATTTATGAATGTTGGATATGGTGAAAATTATAGATATTTCACTGTGTTTCCAAAAATTTTAAAAGGTGACTATCTCTTCAGGGATTCATAACTTATGTCAAGTATCAAATATTTAATGACTGTTTCCCACATGAGCAATGCCTGTCTTAAAATGTTTTACATTTCATGGTTCTGAAATGGATTTAAACATTTGAAATCAACTGATACAGTAAGTCACACATGGAAGTTGTTTTTTCAAGGGCAGGGGTTGGGGGATATTAATCCCCCAAACTTAATATTTCATTGTCCCCTTTTGATAATTGTCACCTACAGATGCTCTGTAAGACGTAATGGGAGCACTCATTTGTCCCTTTCTGTGCTGGCTTACAGCTGTGACTCCTGACACTGCCCTGTCGTTAGAAGGCAGAGGGCGCCTGGACTACCACATGAGTCAGAACGAGAAGCGAGAATACTTATTAAGACAGAGCATACGAGGTGCCATGTTGGAGCCTTTTGGTGTGAACCGTCTGGAAGTAAAATTCAGGACAAGAAGCGAAAATGGCATTTTAATCCATATCCAAGAAAGCAGCAATTACACTACTGTGAAGGTAAGATAAAAGCTAATGAGGACTTCATTTGATGAGACCGCCTGCTGTGTCATGGTTTAAATCTCACTTCCCCCATAATTTCTGTCCTTTTCTTTCACAACCCATTAGCGTTCCGACTAATGCTGGGCACCATTCCAATATCATCTGTCTTAACTATTTCCCAGGCATTGGCCGGAGGAACAAAGATCTGAATGGTTTGGTTTCTAACACTTTTGTCTTGGGTTAAAGGAAAGCCTACTGCTAGGTAGGCCAGTAGAGAAAGAATCTGTTGTGATCCATTTTGTGGGACAAAAATTTATATTGTTTTTCTCCCTACTTTTAAACAAAGTAAAACAAAAAGATAATGTGTCTTTGAAATGGGAAAATACTTATTCTCCAAGAATTACTTGAAACATTAGTATGTATATATTAACTGGCAGGACTAGAATAAGGAAAAACATTTTGAAATTATCTGGCTTTATTCTGGAGCATATACACAATTTATGATCCAGGTAAACCCTGTGAAATTCAGTGTCTTTGGAATAACTGTAAATAACATTATAGCTAAATTCTCCAAATAATTTCTAAATAAATCATCTGTAAACATCATAGCTCAGGAGAACAATGGATTGATGTATCATTAGGCTTTTACATAATTTGTTTTTTTTCTCAACTATAAATGAGATGTTAAACTGGTGAACTATTTCATTAGATATGTATTTGCCATTAGCTCTTAGCTTTCTTAATTTCTATTCACAAATAAGACATTATCGCTTAGAGCATCATTGTCTTTAGTTATATTGACTGCTTTCTATATTTTGTATTTTATAATTTTACTCATAATTTTATATGAATTTTGGTAAATTCTTAAGAAAACAAACCTAGATTTCCTGGTTTTTTTTTCCTCACATATAAATCAATATTTTGAAAATTTCTAAAATCTTAGTTGATAAAGAAATAAGCAAAATACATAGACTATCGCTAGGTTTAATTCACATATAAATCTAAAAATAAAAACAGATGTTCCTCTCTAAACTTCAGCCTCTTTATTCTCAAAATTTCTCTCTATCCAAGCCAACTCTCTTTGATATATACTCCATGTATATATCTTTAATATGCAGTGAAAAAATCTTTTAAAAATTCTCATATTATAGTCCCCAGTCCAGTCATTCCCAACTGGGGAGGATTTCACCCCACTGGGGACACTTGGCCATGTCTGGAGACAGTTTTTATCGTCATGGTTTGGTCAAGGTGCCTCTAAACACCCTGCAGTGCACAGCACAGCACAGCACCCCACAGAAAGAATGATTCTGTTTGCAGTGTCTGTAGTGCTCAGCCTGAGAAACTGCCCTAATCCAGGACAAGAGATTATCTTCTTCAGTTTATCGCTTTACCTCCATTATGGAAAAAAAGAGCCCAGCTCCAGAATTAATAAAGCAATTGCAAAAACAGCATATAAGTCATTGTATAATATTATTAGTTGGTGTTTATAATTTTCATTGAAAATTACTAGAAGCCAAGAAAGTAAAGAAGTGAAGGGAGAAGTCGACCTTCACAGTCTCCAAGGAACATTTTTTACACGCGTTGAGAGGTCTAGACATTTAGGTCTGTGCATTATCTGTTAGGCTGCTTCCAAGGCCTCGTGCCATTTCAATGACATATGAAATATTTCTGTACAGTATCTCTTCAAGCCAAAAGATACAAAATACAATGTGGTGCAAGAAATTAGAGACAGGATTTTTTCTTCCTTAAGGAAGAAGCTGACTGTCAGGGTCCGTGTTTGTCATAAAACGTTGCATTTCCAATGGCACAGTGGCATGCAGCTCATCCGGGTTTTGTTACGTTGGTAAAATAATTACTAATGCAGACAAAAATGCACATTTGTTTTGTACGAAATTTTGAAAAGCAGCTTTTCAGAGATTAAGAGGCTTGGCAGGTAAAGTAAGGAAATTAAAAAAAAAACAAAAACAGTGAATAAGGAGAACTAAATAGACAGGAAGAGAGTGGCTGTTGTAAGCAGGCACGTTATCTGGATGACAGGAATACGACCTGCTTATGTGGGCTAGGAAGCTGGTTCACATGGACTGTTACTTATCAGCTAGCTTATCAGTGACCAAGGCCCCTGGTTTTCTTCTTGCCTTTTGGCTCCCTTTCTGACAGTTTCTTATTTTTTTTTGTATACTTTGAATCAGGCTCTCTCTCTCTCTCTCTCTCTCTCTCTCTCTCTCTCTCTCCCCCTCCTCTCTGTCTCTCTCTCTCTCTCTCACACACACACACACACACACTTTGTGAAAATGAAAAAAAAGGCTGGGTAAACGGGATTCCATATGCTTCGAGGAGAGAGGATCAGCCGTGGGTAGCAACAGCAACAGGAGGAGACACGAACTGTATAGGATGGATAAGGTCTGTTCCGTTAAAAAGGAAATTAAGGAGAGAAAAGTTTAGAGAGAAAACCAAAAGGAAAGCGTACTTGTGAGTGTGTTGCCACTAGAAAGTGTTCCCCTTCATCCGTGGCACATCTGTATCTCCGGGTTTGGAGTCTGTGTCATACGTGACAGATTTCCTTTCTACTCCGAATCAGTTCTGGTGTTTGGGTGCACAGTGTTTTGGTTGGTTTTGTTCTTAAGCAAGCCTAGGCGTATTGTACACAGCGGGGTTCAGCACTCTATAGATGTAGAAAAATAAATGAATTAATAAATAAAGCAAAGCTAACATTAGCATGATGTTTTGACAGGAAGAACACACGAGTTTGGTAGAGTGTTATTGGGGAAAAGGAAAAGATTAAGAATGATATAGTGGGACACTATGCTCTTATCAGCCCACTCTGTGGTACTTTCTAAAGACTCTCATCAGGATTGCGAGTGGAAGGGTACATTGTGTGACCAAGAAGGAGACAAGCACAGGGCTGGGAGAAGTCGCTTCCCGAGGCTTCTTTCCAAAAAAGACCTTGGCGTCAATCAAAGAAGAGCTGCTGTTTTTACTGTGTGTCATGCGATGTGGCCCATTTGACAAAATGTTATTGTCATTTAACTACAACTTACTTTTTTCTCCCTCTTGAGATTGGTACTGAAATATAGTAGCATCTAGAGAGGCAGCTTTCGTAAAATATTACAATATGAATAACATATGTAAATGGCATATTTTCCACAGTAAAAGTGAACTGATTTTTAGTTCTGCCAGATGTGACCATTGCATGTAGATATAGCGTTTGATCTGAGTGAGAAAATAAAATCATCCATCTCTTCATCTCTGTCATTTGAGATGCAGTGTCACTTCATCCACCTTCCGGGGCACCAGTTCTATCTGGTAGTTCGATGGGATTATGCTTTCTAAACCAAACGCTCATCCTGCCTCATAAATGATTTTATTTTCTAAAGTGCCTACTCAGAATACTGGGAACATGGTGGCTGGAAACTGGAGTGAGAGCCTCCTGTTACCCAGTGTCCTGCTGGGCGAAGTCACAGGAACCCAGTACCCCTTAGATGCAGCGAAAGAGAAAGCCACAGTGAACACTTGCCCACACACCTTATTGCTGCAATCTCACCCTTTATTCATCAGTTTTTATCTCAACAAACAATATAAGTAATAGGCAAGATTTTTTTCTAAAATGCCAGTGTGTAATAGATGAGAAGTAAAACAATCTATTTTTGTCTTTATTTTTCCAAGTAGGCTTGATTTTTAGGTAGCCATGGGTTTTTCTTTTTGCAAATAGTTTTAACATTTTTTTATCACTACAGGCCATTTATTAAACTGAACAATTTTTTTTTAGACTTGCTATTGCCATTAAGTGATAGAAAATCCCAAAAAAGTTTTAATTTATTATCTTACAATGGGCATTCACTCCATTATTATCTCAGTTATGTTCTGGAAAATAATTCTGTACATCTTGAAAAGTTTGGTATCACACCTTGGAGACCGCTGAAACCAGTATGTGTGAAGATATATGTTACCTAAAGTCATAGAGGCAGAGAGGTGAGTATAGTCTAATACCGCCAGTCTCTTCAGCTGCTCTAGTTACTTTAAATTGGCCAATATTTTTAATTTTTATTCAAGCACAGTATAATTTAATTGTACTTTATTTTAATATGTCTATAGATCAAGAATGGCAAAGTACATTTCACATCGGATGCAGGAATTGCTGGGAAAGTGGAGAGGAACATTCCAGAAGTGTATGTGGCAGATGGTCACTGGCACACTTTCCTAATTGGGAAAAATGGAACGGCCACAGTGTTGTCCATCGACAGAGTGTACACCAGGGACGTGACCCACCCCACTCAGGACTTCGGTGGCCTCGATGTGCTCACTATATCCCTTGGAGGAATTCCACCCAACCAAGCTCACCGAGATACTCAGACAGGTAAATGCTGGTGTTGAGTAGCGTCACAAAGGAAAGGTAAAATTATTCCTTTGAATTTAGTTGAGTTCCTGATAATATCTATTATCAATATTCTAAGACTAGCATAACTATCTTTAGAAAGTTTAAAATAAATTAGCAGCCCTCACTTTAGACACTTGCGTTTGTTCTACCAAGTTCATAATTCAGACCATAGTGCTTCCATGCTTTCCTTATCCACCAAACATGTATTCAAGCATGTATTCATCACTCACTCACGTGTTCCTTCACATGGCAGCTGTCACTGCGCTGTCCTGGGCACTGGGGGTGCAGCGGTGGGCTAACAGGCCACTCGACCGGCAAGGGAGGCACACATCAACCACATCGTTATACAAGTAAATGCATTATTTTACGCTATGATAAATGGTCTGAAGGAAGAATATAGAATTCTAAGAGATTACCCAAAAAAGGAGAAAGGGAAACGTTCCTGGAAAATTCACATTTGTACTTAAATCTGAACTGGGAAGATAAGGATGGGAGAGTATGAAAGGTTACTTTATATTGATAGGAACTAAAAAAAGAAAACTTAGATTATGTCAAAGTCACAGATCCCAGCATATTGGGGGCTGATGTCACGATTAAAAGCTGAGGTTGGGAACTGAAGCAGGCAGGCCTTCTGACCAGGCTGTACTCTTGGTCTTATTCTCAGAACAGTGAGAAGCTACTAACAAAATGTAGTGATAGGCGTGTCCAGATTAGACACACAGTGATATTAAGGACCTTCCCGGCGCCAACACGGAGACGGCATTGGAGGAGGGCTGGAGCGGACGTCCCGACCAGCGGGGAGGACTTTGCATGATGGAGGCTGCTGTGTGAGCTTTGACCAGTGTGGTGACAGAGGAATTACCAAGAAGTGGGCAGGGAAGAAGTATTTTAAAAATTAAAATAGGCTAAACTGTTGACGATTGTGGTAAAATTCAGGGAGTTTTCTGACTTTACAACTAGAAGAAGGGCAGTGCCACCAAGAAAGACAACTGCAGAACGGCGCACAAAGCAGCGCATCTGCGGGAAACAGCAAGCCGGGGTGTGAGCACTCGGGGTGTGAGCACCTCTGAGGCAGGCCTTCGCACAGAGGGCCGGAATCAGGGATGGACTGTACCTGGAAATAGTGTTAGGAGTTGCCAGTGCCGAGCAGACAGCTGAGGTGCTGGGCGTGGATGACGACGCAACGGGAGGGTGCAGAGTGAAGGAAGCCTAGGGCCTTCTCGTGAGTACCTCGGAGTCAGTGGTGGTTTAGAGGAGAATGAGAAAGAGAGGGGCCTACATCACAAAGAAAAGCAGGAGAGGAGGAGCAGAAACAGGAGGCGCCGCGGCTCATGGAAAAAGAGGGCCTCCGGGATGGAGAGGTCACGAGGATAGAGTGGTGCATCACATAAGAGAAAAGTGGAAAACCGCATGGGCGAGGAATGCAGTCAGGGCACAGAGTTAAAGCCAGGTCGTAGGCCGTATAGATTTCGCTGACTTCAGTATATGGATGCGAATTCTTCGGGAACACAGGCCAACGCAAGTCATGCTTTGTTCTTAGTGTCAACAGGTTCTTAGGCTCTGGGACAGAAGCATCACTGTGGCAGCACCCTCAGTCTAGCAAAGTGTTTAGCAACTTAAAAAAAATTATAGATCTCTGTGGAGCCCTTTTAGATCTTTTTTCCTAATCCCCGCCATCCCCAAGTCTGAAATATTAAGGCCACAGCCGTCCACTATGCCTGCCCCTCGGAGGCCCACAAACCACTGTCGTGGCCGACAGTTTCCTTCTGCTCCTCGGGAACCTGTGTTCCACACCTTGGGGCAAATCCACTGACAGTGCATGATCTAATGATGAAGTCATGGGCCTAGTTTTTGTTCTCTGTACTTTTAAAAATCTTATTTCTGTGCATGTAATTCTTGGTATGCAGACTAGGAAATTAAAACACAGTAAGTGAGTAAAACGCCTCGCTGCCCCTTCCGCCGGCAGGCTTTGATGGCTGCATCGCCTCTGTGCTGTTCGGCGCGCAGAGTCTGCCTTTCAGCGGGAAGCACAGCTTGGCCTCCATCTCCAAGACGGACCCCTCGGTGAAGACTGGCTGTCGCGGGCCCAACGTGTGTGCCAGCAACCCCTGCTGGGGCGACTTGCTGTGCATTAACCAGTGGCATGCCTACAAGTGCGCCCCCCCAGGGGACTGCGCCTCGCACCCCTGCCAGAACGGGGGCAGCTGCGAGCCAGGCCTGCACTCGGGCTTCACCTGCAGCTGCCCCGACTCGCACACGGGGAGCGCCTGCGAGACGGCGGTGGCCTGCCTGGGTGTCCTGTGTCCCCAGGGGAGGCTGTGCAAAGCCGGGAGTCCCGGCGGGCACGTCTGCGTGCTGAGCCCGGGCCCGGAGGAGCTCTCCCTGCCCCTGTGGGCCGTGCCCGCCATCGTGGGCAGCTGTGCCACCGTCCTGGCCCTCCTGGTGCTCAGCCTGATTCTGTGTAACCAGTGCCGGGGCAAGAAGGCCCGACGCCCCCAAGAGGAGAAGCAGCCCAAGGAGAAGAAGAAGAAGGGGAGCGAGAACGTTGCCTTCGACGACCCCGACAACATCCCCCCGTACGGGGACGACATGACGGTGAGGAAGCAGCCTGAGGGGAACCCCAAGCCGGACATCATCGAGCGGGAGAACCCCTACCTCATCTACGACGAGACCGACCTCCCGCCCGGCGCCGAGACCGTGCCCAGCGCCCCGCTGGCGTCGCCGGAGCAGGAGCTCGAGCACTACGACATCGACAACGCCAGCAGCATCGCGCCGTCGGACGCCGACATCGTGCAGCACTACAGGCAGTTCCGCAGCCACACGCCCAAGTTCTCCATCCAGCGCCACAGCCCGCTGGGCTTCGCCAGGCCGTCGCCCCTGCCGCTGGGGGCCGGCGGCCTGGGCTACCAGCCGGCGTACGGCCAGGCGCTGCGCGGCGGCTCGCTGGGCCACGCGGCCTG